AAATTAATAATTTTCACGGAGAAATTTTTTAACTATGTGTTAGTAACGCTTTGCTCTATGAGAAAATATGTAGGGGATAAAAAGAGCTGCAATTTGTGCCGATTTTCATTGTCAACATTACGTTATTTTAGAAATGATTTTATCACGTCAACAGTTTCAGTTACGTGCAAAACCAGTGTACTGAAGAGGGACAAAACTTATGATTCGTGCGACGGAACAAATAAAATTCTTTTGTGTTGTAATGAAAAATAAACGGTGTCATTTAATTTAAGTTTTAGAATCTTCACCAAAAAGAGATACTCTAGAACGTTAATTACCGTGCGCTAATAAATATAGGCCTAACTTTGTTTTTCAGCACAATTTTATTAAAGTAGATTATTAAGCTTTTATTGATGAAGAAAAATGTGTGGTTGATTATCAGTGTTTTTTACTCGTGAAAATTGATCACACCGAACTATGAGATGGTCAGACTTGTTTACAGTAACATCCAAATTAAGACTATACGATCACGAATACCTTTATTGTAAGCATACCAATATGGCTATTTAATTCGGATAATAAGTAAAACAGACCATACTTACTAGGCACAACGTTAGCCAAAATTCAAATGCTATCGTCCCACGTGTATGGCAGCATTAATAAACAACGCCTTCCTATTGGTCTAACTTTTACCATTTAAAACAAACGAAATGTGGATGGAGTGCAAAGTTGAAAATTTTCAAATTTTACCACAAAAGCTGAGAGAAAGTGGAAAATTTTCAACTTTGTACTTCGTCGACATTTTGTTTACTTTGATGATAAAAGTGATTTCATTTTACGTTTCCGTCATACGTTTTCGCACGAGTACTAGGTCTAAAGAATAATACTAGATTCTGTTTAATTTTTTCTATAGGAAGACAAAGCGAAACGGACTGGAGAGGAACGACAGTACATGAAATAAGTTGATACATTAAAGCCTACTTAAGAACAATGTATCGTTCTTAAGTGGGCTCCAACTATGAGAAATATAGGCTATATTGTATGTTTTTATTTTAATTTTGTCTGCTTTGACTGATATTAGGTTACATTGAGGAATTGTTCCAGTAAAATTTTGTCGCTACCTCGCCAGTCATTTTTAAAAAGCCATCACACAAGCCTAATTACATACGTGCCTGTGTAATAAGGCCCAAATGTAAAATTGCATTTTATACTGACATACTTTAAATAAATTTGAACTACGAATACAGTAGCTTAGAAGTGTTCACATCCATTATTAATGTTTATTGTCACTTTAAATGTTACACAAGGAAAGAATCGATGTTTAAGAAAATAACACAACTTTAATTTTTTAAACAGCAAAGTAAGTACTTTACTTTGATTAATTTGATTTCTTTCAGAACTTTCACTAATTATTCACTATTGTGAAAGCTAAAATTGCTCTTGTCTCGTGCTGTAAGACCTACATATATTTCATCAACTCATTTTCGACAGCTTAGCCATTGCCTCATATCCTCTAGTCGTTCATTGACACTTAGAAAACATCCATAATTTATTAATTTGGAATCTCTAACAATACGTATGATAATCAATAACTAACTTACAAGTCAAGTTTAGTAAAAAAGCAATCAAACTTAAAGCAATATACACGGAAGAAAGTCTGGGCTTTATTGCATTTGACAAGTTGGCCATATTTCCCAGACAAGGACGATAATTAAAAATCATATGGCTTTTATACAATGAAATGTATCAATCGATTTGGCATACAGTTTTAATAGTTAAACATATCCTTCTTAACATACTTCGATAACATTTCGATCTCTACAGTTTCAGCTATTGATTTACCTCATCAAACTGAATCATTATCTAATAAAAACAGATATTTTCTTACCTTTTTCCTTCGGAACAAAGCATACACTTTTAAACATACTTGCCACAGTTCGTGACAATTTCAAATTGAACTGATTGAACTAAAGCAACATGAAATGTTGCTATTCATCACTAGCAGTGTTTATTCACGATGCTAGATATGATGGGCCTTATAGTAACGTGGGCTTTATTGTATCGAGATATTATATTCTTGGTATTCTCTGAAACTATCACATAGTGAATACAGTTTTTATCCCGTATTACTAAATTCTTAAGGTATTATTTGTACGTAATGTACAGTTTTTGTAACGACCAAGTTCCTGATTAATTGGGTTTCCACTTGATGAATTCTTGAAATGGAATTTCTACTAAATTTTGTTTCTATAATTGTATATTGATGCTACCTATAAATCTTGCCAAAGTACAGTACATGATCCTATAAAACAATTATTACTAAATAAGATAGAAAATACTACTATGATTGCTGATTTTCTAGATCACCCTCTTATGTAAATTCTAATGTAGAGAATAGAAAGTTATCAACGTTAAACGAAGTCATTTTTAAAACGAATAAAATTAATTAGGAGTTTAAGGCTTATTTCTGGACATCTCGAATCTTCGAATTTCTGGAGGATACAGAATTATCGTACCCAAAGGGGAGGACTAGTTTAAAAATTTAAAATATTTAAATAATCAAATAAGTACTGTACTGTACGTTTCATTAACAAGTGCACGAATATTGCATTGCAGATGGTCGCCATCTTAATTGTTTTTGTTTAACTTTATTAATTTATTAATATATTAAAATAAATAAAACAAGTTAAATGATAAATATTAAGTAAATTAAATAAATAAGTTATATAATTCATTAAATATTCGAGATATGGTTAATATTCTTATTCGAGGAAAATGTTATTCGCCCATCTCTAGTATATAAACATTTTGGAGGTTCGAAATTTGTCATTAAACAAAAGGCTATCGACTTTCCTATTTTTAGACACAAACTTCGTTGATTTTTCTTGATACTGTAAGTTTGTAAAACAAAAAAGCAAAAGCTGTTTTTCTAAAGATATTCCGCTTATAAATTTGCATATTAAAGTATGTAGGTGGGATAAGTTTCTCTATGTTTAGTCAGTACATGATTTCCTCTTCTGTATTTAATATTAAATTTTAAAATCTGTTTCTTTTTAAATATATTCCCTTATGACTGCCGACTACTCAGAACAAAATAATTAAATCAAACAATAAAACTAATTCACTTAAAATTTGAATATAAATAAAAATTTTGTAAATATATGCTCACTCGTCAGCGCTTAGAAAATGTACTGTACTGTACATATAAAGAAAGAATGAATAAAACTTGGTTTTAAAACTGTTTAATATTCTTAAAATTTAATAAATATTGCTGAATGGAGAAGTGTGTCTTTAATTACATTATCAGCTCTATAATGTATTTCATTTGTTCAAAAAAAAAAAAAAAAAAAGGCAAAATGGGACCCGCCCGACCCGGCCCCCATATAAGCGCTGATGGCTCTGCCTATTGCTCTTAAGGACCCGGAATAGGATCCGAGCGAACAGCTTCTTAGGAAGTTTTCATCGGAGGTCTATCCGTATTTGTGGGTCCAGCCTCTCACCACCCGTTACCCTTCATTTTGGACTTGCAGTGGCGTGTTATAGCTTCATGGGGCCCAGGAAAATTTGAATTAAAGGGCCCCATGTACAGTACCTGTACAGTGTTGACTTCATATATTTTTCTTTGAGGTAATTTTTGAAGGGAATATTTTCTTATGAAAGATTGGTTTGGAACTCTCTGGCCCATCAGTGGCCAAGCGGTTCCGTTCCCTGAACACTGGGAGTTCGGTCATGGGTTCGCGCCTCGCCAGGGCGGGTTGGCTACATGGAGTTTCCCGGGTTTTCTCCACGTCTGTAACGCCTGAATAAGAGCCAGTTACCCCTAAAAATACTTCCCGGAAGGCATTCCCCTAGGCAGATTGCCCAAGTGTTGCATTGCCATAACTTAATAAAACAAACAAATTGGAGCACTCTGTTGATGGGAAACCCTTGCAATTGTTTTCCCTCCATAAGATAACGCACCATTGTGGTCTTGACCGATCTCACAATGAGTATATTGGAAAAGGCCTTCTTAGTGCCCACAAGGCGAAAAAAGCCAAAAATTAAGTAACAGTATATGAAAAACCAACCAGCTTTTAATGTAATTATTATCTTCATAGTCTATTGTAAAGATGTAGGTAAATATCCCCTTGAGCTAGAAAATGAATTTACAATCGCTTTCGGTATTATAGTTTTCGAAATTTTAAGGCTCAGACTGATTCATTTTCATCACTCTGAAATGTATTACATCGTGATCTATGCAATAAACGCACTGGAGTATCCCACTTCTTGAAAGAGAAGTTAAAATTGCCAGAAGAAAATTCTATATTTTCTCGGACAAGTTTTATTAAACAGTTTTCTTGGTTCGATGAACTTAAAAACAGCTTAAAGTTCTTGATTTTTACTTACATTTATGTGAATATCTTTCGATAAATTCAATTTTGGTAGGATTTTTCTTAATCTTTTTGTCGAATTTACTAGAAAACAATTGATAATATTGAAAATTGAATTTTAAATAAATTCTTATAAATATTAGAATCGATTTCATGATTCGAAGATCAGAATATAAAATATCTCAAAACATTGATAATGGGAATATAACATCATGCTTATTTAATAATAAAATGATGTATTTACTTATCTTAATCTAAAATCATTATTAAACAATCTCAATTTTTATACGGTATCTCTAAATTATCACATTTTTAACTGTTTTGTCTTAAACAATAAACGAAAAATAATGTAAAAATTAAGAAAAAATTTCTAAAATTTTCCATTTTAGTAAAATTATTCAAAAAATATTCACATAAACTTATTACATAGCCTTATAACTCATAAATTTATAATCATTTATTAACTTTATTACTTATAATTTTTTTCGTGGAGTATATAAAATATCAGTACAGTAATTTGTTGNACATGTCCATTTATATATATATATATAGACTTACAAAAGTTACTAAAAACCAGAATAATATATATAATTTGCAACAATTGTTGTTAATCACACCTCTAATAATTCGAGGGATGCCCAGACCACTTACCTTTTTTGAGGCCAATACTTAAAAGAAATAATACGATTATTTAATACTGGTTATAATTTAAATAATAAATTTCGTCAGGAAATAAAAGATATTTCTTAAAAATTCTAGATGGTGTGTAATTTGTAAGAAATGTTTTGAGGTCCTTTGATATAAGGTTTAGGCCCTATCATACAGTCGTAAGGTCATTTGTTCTGCTTCTCTCCTGCGATAGGCATGTAATTATAATAAACAATAAACAAATAATAAAAAATAACATAAATAGAAACAATAATTAGATGAAAACAATTTGATTATTGCAAAGTTTTCAGAACGAAAACAATATATATAGATATATTTCTTTGGAATAAATCGTAATAAAAGAATTTGTATATTTTATAAGAAAACAATTTTAGGTTTTACTTCTATTTTATAATAAACATGCTTTAGTTTATATATAAAATGGGAAATCATTATTTAAACAAACATACTATAGGTTCATGTAAATAATGATTTTCCTTTATTTATTTTTTTCATAATCTCAAGTAAGTTTCAATTGCTTTTTAAATCTTTCTTTTAAGCAAATCTCAAAATTAATTGACTGAAATGACATTTATAAAGCATCGCTGCGTCGTTCTTAAGCTTCATAACATTTAATAAAAAATATTTTCTTTTTTTCGTGTGTGTGTGTGTGTGTAGATGTAGGTGTATCTGTGTTTGTGTGGGTTTACGTGTTTTCGTGTGTAATAGCTATATATATATATATTTTTTGTTTATTACTTTTAACGTTTTAATATGGCGGCGATATTTTTAAATTATAAGAAAAACCTATATAAAAGATAATTGAGACAAACTATAAAGAATAGTGATCTTCGTTTTCTATTAAGACTGTTAGGTCAAACAAGTTTGGTTTACCCAGTTCCTTTCATATAAAACAAAAAACTTTAGAACAAAAACTTTGAAATTGTTTTTCTCTGCACTATTTTTGTTTTTTCTTTCTACTAGCTTAAACAGTTCTTGAAATTTGTTTTACGTTTTCACGTAAATATATCATATAAAAATGATCAGTTAAAAAAAATTAATTTAAAAAAAACTGTGCTTACACTTCAAAAATAAATAAAAAAAATTACCAAAAATTAAAAATAAAGCATTGATTATAATGCTGTATAATTAACAAGTGCTTACATATTGATTAGTTCGTAAACATATATCTTAGTATATAAATTACGTGTCAAATTAAGAAAACCAAGATTTAAACAGGGAATAAATATGTGTATGAACCTATGTAGGATGTGAACCGTCTCCTTTGATAACGTCCGAATGCTCTACACCTTAACACGTAGTTTATACACTTGGGTTTAAACTTCAAATATTACTCGTTTATTAAATTAATTAGCAAACTTTCTGATATTGATGTTAAATTTCCTTTAATCAATTGATTATTTAGTAATTTTCGCTGTCAGATACTTTCAAGTTTCGAACGAGAGAATAATCTTGGTGTCACATAAAAAATTTTTCGCATTCTAAAGCCCTGTTTTTATTTGAATAATCGCGATAAAAATCGCGTAAAATAAATGTATTATAATGCATAAAATATCATTTTAAACGCTGAAATCATAGACTAAATAGAAAAACAGGCAATTAAAATAAATTTTTGAAAATTATTTTTGCAATTACTGAAACCAAACTGACCGAAAATGGCACTAACAGCTCGAAATTTGTAGTTGTAATTATGATTGTAAAAGAATAGTTGTGGTTATATTTTATAAAACTCCAATCGAATCATTATTATGATCTCTTTAACGCCTCATATTGCAATATTAGGTTATATTATGCATTAAAATATTAATAAATGTTTATTCAAAATCATAAATAAATTTATATTTTTCTTTACATTAAAATCTGTTTTAAATGTTTATTATTATTTTAATTTACAATGGAAAATTAATTAGTTGTAATGTTTTCTCTGTTTACAATTAATTAATCGGTTAAATTTAATAGCTCTAAACTAATTTTATATTTTTATCATCAATCCTCTTAATTATTAGAAAACTTTTTAAACGAATCTTTAACTTAATCCTTACAGAATATATTTTGTTAAGAGAAAATGAGAATGTTAAGAATCTTAAGAGAATATAATTTTTCCTCGTTATCTTAAATATTTTATTGTATTTTAACTAGGAAATTCCCTCTAACTTTACAAGATATTACAGAGACATTAAGATAAATCTGTTGCTTTTCATGAATGAAAATTTATCGACTTCGATCACAATTTAGAAAATAACATGCATTTCTTTTATTGGATAATGAAATACATTATTAGTAGATCTATGCAAGCGGTCTGAATACCTATCACGCACGTGAGGAACATGTCTAGTGGCCACGGTCTCGGAGGCCCCAAAATTGGAAAAAAGTAAGCGACTTTATCGTTGCAAATGTATACCATAATTTATAAATCATTCTGTAGCTACAATTAAATGTTATTTGTTTATAATGTATTAAAATTATGTGGCGAGGCCTCAAATCTTCTGTCCTTGGAGCCCCAGCTTAATCCTTTGTATGAAACAATACAAAAAAAGTACAAAAATTATACCTTCTGAAGGTTTACTTTTTGAAAATAACATAACAAGATGAGCGGTAAAATTTCTATATAATAAAATATTAAATTAGCGAAAGTTTATAAGTGTATATAATTATTAGTTTTCATTTAATTTTTATTAATATTTTAATATTTCAAACAATTACGTGAAAGCCTCTTATGATCAATAAAATCTTTCGTTTAGTACTTCGTTCATTTCCACACATTATTTAACAGGTTGTATCTAAATTGAAACGATACATATTATAATTTATTAGTAATTTATCATAAAATTAGATTGAAGTTCAATAGTTGAACCATAAAATTAACGGAAGTAATAAGGAAATAATAAGTTTATAATTACAAGGTTGCGCTCTTTACAGCACATTGATTCAATAATATTTAAATTAAGGATTTTAAACATTATTTGAAAATCATTGTGTTTTTACTTTTTGATATAAAAAAATTTAATTTGTTTATAAGCTTTTAAATTTTGTTTCATTATATCTTCATTTGTCTTGTTTAGAGTCGGATAATTATGCATTAAGCTGGATTGCCAAATTGATGGTTTCCAATTAATTTTGGAATCACTGTTTTCACATTTAAAAAAATTAGGATTGCTAATTTGGCTGCAATTCGAAAAAATTATAGACCTATAAATTCCACTGTCGTCCGTCTGTCTGGAAGTCATGTTATTTCAATTCAAAATTTTCCCCTGAAAGATGTTAGATAGATGACTGGCACGACTCTATTTATAAAGGAAAAGTATGATTTACAGGGCAAGCCACTAATAATTTGAGATGGAGNTATATTTTTTGTTTATTTAGTTGAACATTTTAATATTCTAATTTAATTTCAGGTTTTAGATATTTTAGTTGCATAAAATTATAAATATTTTAAAAAATACGGAGTGGCCGAAAGTTAATTAACCAAAAACTAAATTGTTACCTTATGCAAATGCTTTATTACATATATATTAAAAACATCTTTCTAGTTCGATACACAAATTACAGCACTTGACAGACTTTCACCAACTACTTTCTCGCAAAAAAAGAACAGTCAACTGATTTTTGGGCCACCCTATATATTTTTAAATTTTTAAAAATTTAATGCAAAGTATTTCCGTTATATTTTACTTTAAAAAGTATTGCTTCTCTTGTAGAAACTCAAAACAAACTTCAAGAAAGTAGAAAGGAAACGAATTTTATATATTATTGATTGTTTTTTAAGCATATTGCGATAAATATCTATTATTTTTAAAATTTCAATATCTAAAATCGTTAGATTTGATTTATATTCGAAAATTTTTATATAAGTCATATATAATTCTGTAGTAGAAATTCTTAGTAACGGAGAATACAAAAATCGGTTTTCTTTGGCGAAATATCAGTTATTCTTTAAATTCTCATGACTTTCAAAAACTTTTGTACATTTGGATCGATATGTTACAAGAATTTACACTTCTAACATCAATATTTGACTGAAGAATGTACTAAGGTTGCTTTGTTTAAAAATGAAAAACTCTGTCTAATGTATGTATAATTTCTTTACTAAAAGTTCAGAAAATTCTGAAACTGGAAAAAGTCTTTTAGTGAAAATTTGGTTTTTTCTCGAAATTCTAAAATTTATTTTTTATAAATTTAGATTTATGATATTCTTCAGTTAAAAAATCACTCTTGTTCTACTCATCTAATTTTATTAAGGTAAACATATATATACATGTATTATATCTTCTGTATAATAATATAGGCCTATATAAACTTTTTAAAGTTATATTTGAGAAACTTTTCTTTAAAATATTTATTTTTTTATATTCTACTAGCTGCAAGGACCCGCTTCGCTGGGTTTTTATTTGTTCGTACATTTGTATGTAATATAGTTTTTGTTTTTTTATATATAAAAGACTGTTTTTTAAGTAATCTAAAATCTAGCTGCAAGGACCCGCTTCGCTGGGTTTTTATTTGTGGCAAAAAGTAACGATAGTGAAGATTAAGATAATTACATTATAGCCAATCTTACCCGTTTTCACAGAATGCAAGAATTAGGTCCCCCGTTTCCAGACTAATTAGAGACCTGGTCCCGATACATACAAACACCATTCACGTGCGATGTGTAGTTTTTGCGGAAAAGTGAAATATAGGGACATACATGTCCATTTATATATATATATATAGACTTACAAAAGTTACTAAAAACCAGAATAATATATATAATTTGCAACAATTGTTGTTAATCACACCTCTAATAATTCGAGGGATGCCCAGACCACTTACCTTTTTTGAGGCCAATACTTAAAAGAAATAATACGATTATTTAATACTGGTTATAATTTAAATAATAAATTTCGTCAGGAAATAAAAGATATTTCTTAAAAATTCTAGATGGTGTGTAATTTGTAAGAAATGTTTTGAGGTCCTTTGATATAAGGTTTAGGCCCTATCATACAGTCGTAAGGTCATTTGT